GCTCAAGGGCATAAAGAATAAATATCAGGTTTTAGCACTATTCTCATCATCTTGCAAAAGAAAAATTGTATCAACAACATACTGCAACATGTTAACTCCTTTATGTAAGGCCTCACCTAACACCTGGCTTCACTATACCATAGACTATAGTCCTGTCCGTGATTATGGCCAAAGCATCAGCAACCATATCAAACAATAAAGATGAGAAGGCATCACCCTGTCTCAAATCTTTACAAATTCTTAAAAAAGGGCCAATCCTATTACTCACTTCAATCCCACCATGTCCACCGCTCATGGTGTACATGACCCAATCACACCAAACTTCTAAAAACACTTCGATTTTAAGTATTTGGTGGAAAAGGCCATTTGATTTCACCATAATCCTTTACAAAATCCACTTTAAAAATAAGGGCAATTTGTTTCTTATGATGTTCACAGCCCTAGATTAGTATTTTCTTGCCATTGCATAATCTTTCATGCATCATGTTTAAATTCTGTTAAATTTGAATTGGGGATTGATCAAACCCTAGCACCAAAAAAACTCCACTAGGTTCAACTTCAAAATATTTTCAATGAACCCAAAGTGCCCTTAAGAAAAGTTCATGATTGTTGACTAAGGTGGAAACCTCTGCCAAAAATGATGAATATATTTCTAGGTCATTTATGGATTTTTGAATTAACTTATAATGTATTTGAATTGGAGCTATTAATTCCTATAAAATATTTAAAACTTGCTGAGGGCCACTGAAACAATTCAGTTGCTGTTCACAAATATTTTTAGGATTTATAATTTTGATTTGGTTTTAAAACTAAATCAGAAAAAAAACTACAAAAATAGAAAACAAAAAAGAATTAGAAGAGAGAGAGAGAGAGAGAGAGAGAGGCAGCCCACCTGGGCCACTCACCTGGCTGGCCCAGCACACCTGGCCGTTGCCAGTTGTCTCCCACCTCTGCCAGTAGGCAGAAGCAGGGACAACGCACGGGCGCGCATGGGGCGCCACGCCACCATGCTGCCTGCCTGCATTTGAGGACAACACGACACCGCGAATCTCCTCCTCGATGTCGTCCCGATCGCCCTGACCCGCTCATTGGCCCTCTCGATCTCTCCCTCGCCTCTGCTTGCCATGGCCGAGGAATTCGCCAGTTGGCCGCCGCGGTAGTGTAGCCACCGCCTCCCCCTCAACTCCTCGACGTGCCCAAGAGCTCCGCCTTGACGCCCTTGTCCTCTCCGTCGATCCACTTGGTACCAGACAACTCCGAACACCGTCACCGCCGCCTTCTTCAACCTTCGGCCGCCTGAGATCCGCCTCGCCGCCCCGCTCATTCCGGCACTTCCCCAAGCTCGCTGACCTTCCGTATGTGATTGCTGTGAGCTCCTACATCGATTACCTCCCTCCTCTCCCTCATTTGCACACTCTAGCTCCGACTTCCACCATGCCCGCGAGCTCCACATCGCCGGCGATGTCACCGCCGTCGCTGCAGCCGCTGAGGCTCGAAACCGAGCGCGTCACCGTGCTCCGCACGCTCCCAGGAGCTTGGAACGCCCACCAACTCCTCCTCCTGTGCACTCTAACGCCGAGCCCAACATCGCCCGAACTCCGGCCATCGCCGCGAGCTTGATTCTGGCGAGTCGGGTCGACCTCGGCCCCTTCCGCTGTTGGGTAACGTTGCATGGAATTTCAAAATTTTCCTATGCACACATAATGATCTATCCTTGGAGATGCATTGAAATGAGGGGGAGAGTGTGTCTACGTACGCTCGTAGACCATAAGCGGAAGCATTTGACAACGCAGGTGATGTAGTCGAACTTCTTCGCGATCCTACCGATCGAGTACCGAACGTACGACACCTCCGAGTTTAGCACACGTGCGGCTCGATGATGTCTCCTCCTTATTGATCCAGCAAGTAGGAGAGGATAAGTAGATGGGATCACAACAAACACAACGGCGTGGTGGTCATGGTGGTGGTGGAGCATCGACAGTGCTTTGCTAAGCGTCGCCGGGACAAGGCGGTGGAACTATGAAGAAACGGGAGAGAGAGGGGCGCCAAGGGCTTGGTGTACCTATTGGGGCACCCCTCCCCTCCATATATAGGGGGAGGGGCGTGGCAAACAGCCCCTCAAAGCCCTAGGGCACAGCTAAGGGGGAGAGGACTTGGACTCCAAGTCCAATCCTATTCGTACTAGGACTCCTTCCTTATTTGCCTTCACTAGCCACATGGGCTATTGAGGACTTGATGCGCCTAGCCCAATAAGGCCAGGGCACCTTCCTACAGCCCATGCTAGCCCTTGGGTCGTGTTGTACCCACTTGTGGACTTCCGGACCCCTTCGGTATCCTTCGGAACCTTCTGGAAGCTTCCCGGTACAATACCGAAAAAACTTCACCTTTTTTTGGAACCCAAAATATGACTTCCTATATATAAATCTTTACCTCTCGACCATTCCGAGACTCCTCGTGATGTTCAGGATCTCATCCGGGACTCCGAACAACATTTGATTACCACTCATCAAATATCCCAATACTACTCTAGCGTCAACGAACGTTAAGCGTGCAACCCCGCGGGTTCGAGAACTATGTAGACATGACCGAGACACCTCTCCGGTCAATAACCAATAGCGGAACCTGGATGCCCATATTGACTCCTATATATTGTACGAAGATCTTTATCGGTCAAACCATTATGAGAACATATGTATCCCTTTGTCCATTGGTATGTTACTTGCCTGAGATTCGATCGTTGGTATCTTAATACCTAGTTCAATCTCGTTATCGACAAGTCTATTTACTCGTTCCGTAATACATCATCTTGCAACTAACTCATTAGTCACTTTGCTTGCAAGGCTACTTATGATGTGTATTACGGAGAGGGCCCAATGATACCTCTCCGATCTTCGGAGTGACAAATCCTAATCTCGATCTATGCCAACCCAACAAACACCTTCGGAGATACCTGTAGAGCATCTTTATAATCACGCAGTTACGTTATGATGTTTGATAGCACACAAGGTATTCCTCCGGTATACGGGAGTTGCATAATCTCATAGTCGAAGGAATATGTATTTGACATGAAGAAAGCAATAGCAATAAAACTGAACGATCATAATGCTAAGCTAATGAATGGGTCTTGTCCATCACATCATTCTCTTAATGATGTGATCCCGTTTATCGAATGACAACACATGTCTATGGTTAGGAAACTTAACCATCTTTGATTAACGAGCTAGTCTTGTAGAGGCTTACTAGGGACACGGTATTTTGTCTAAGTATCCACACATGTATCAAGTTTCCGGTTAATACAATTCTAGCATGAATAATAAATATTTATCATGAAATAAGGAAATATAAAATAACAACTTTATTATTTCCTCTAGGGCATATTTCCTCAGTCCACCACTTGCACTAGAGTCAATAATCTAGTTCACATCGCCATGTGACCAACACCCTAAGGGTTTACTAGAGTCAATAATATAGTTCACATCACCATGTGATTAACACCCAAAGAGTACTAAGGTGTGATCATGTTTTGCTTGTGAGAGAAGTTTAATCAACGAGTCTATCAAATTCAAATCCATCTGTATATTTGCAAATTTCTATGTCTACAATGCTCTGCGTGGAGATACTCTAGCTAATTGCTCCCACGTTCAATACATATCTAGATTGAGACTTAGAGTAATCCAGATCAGTGTCAAAGCTTGCATCGACGTAACTCTTTACGACGAACTCTTTGTCACCTCCATAACCGAGATACATTTCCTTAGTCCTCTTTAAGGTAACTAAGGATAATTTTGACCGTTGCCCAGCGATCTACTTCGGGATCACTATTGTACCCCCTTGCCAAACTCATGGCAAGGTACACAATAGGTTTGGTACACACCATGGCATACTTTATAGAACCTATGGCTGAGGCATAGGGAGTGACTTCCATTCTCTCTTTATCTTCTGCCATGGTCGGGTTTTGAGTCTTTTACTCAACTTCACACCTTACAATACATGCAAGAACTCCTTCTTTGACTGATCCATTTTGAACTCCTTCAAAATCTTGTCAGGGTATGTACTCATTGAAAGTCTTATCAAGCATCTTGATCTATCTCTATAGATCTTGATGCCCAATATATAAGCAGCTTCACCGAGATCTTTCATTGAAAAATTCTTATTCAAGTATCCTTTTATGCTATCCAGAAATTCTATATCATTTCCAATCAACAATATGTCGTCCACATATAATATCAGAAACGCTACAGAGCTCCCACTCACTTTCTTATAAATACATGCTTCACCGTAAGCCTGTATAAAACCATATGCTTTCATCACCTCATCAAAGCGTATATTCCAACTCCGAGATGCTTGCACCAGTCCATAGATGGATCACTGGAGCTTGCACACCTTGTTAGCACCTTTAGGATTGACAAAACCTTCTGGTTGCATCATATACAACTCTTCATAGAGATATCCATTTAAGGAATGCAATTTTGACATCCATTTGCCAGATTCACTACTGGAATAAGGGATTTTGCCATCTGCCAGTTCTTTGCCGTCTGCTAGCGGACGACAAAGAAGGTCTTTCTCATCAGCTACCAAACAACAGACATCAAAGAACTAGCAGACGGCAAGGAAGGTCTTTGCCATCTGTCATTTCTTTGCCGTCTGCTAGCGGATGGCAAAGAATCTTTGCCATCTACCAGCGGACGGCAAATAAGTGCTGCTGGGGTCCACTGGATGCCGGTACGCTGCAATGATCTAGCCCCCTCTTTGCCGTATACTGGCACACGACAAAGATTCTTTGCCATCTGTTGGCAGACGGCAAAGAGGGTTGGGGGTTCCCTTTCTGGCCGGATTAACCACGGTTTTACCCCACCACGTCAATCAATGCCCACCCCACCTCACCTCCACGACAGCCAGCCCATCGCCGCCTCTTCTTCCCCTCCCCTCCCATCCCCCATTCCCACCCATCACTCCCCCGAACCTTCTAGAACCCCCTGAGGCCAGAACCCTACCCACCCATGGAGGCCTCGCTCCTCTCGCGTGCCGCCTTAGCCGCCTTCGCCCTCCGCGGTGGCGCCAGGCTCCTCCCCACGGAAACCCCCTTCCTCCTCCCCCTCCTCCCGCTCCTCCTCATCCTCCTCGCCACCGCCACCGGCACGCTTCCTGTGGTCGTAACCCTGCCACTGCAACCACCGCCTCGATCCACCAGGTCTTATAGTGTTTGCCTCTTGGAAACTTGCATGGCAGGGTTGGATGGGCGCGCGCGGCCGAGGTCGGGTGCGGGGCATTGCTGTCGCCATCGATGACACGGTTTGGGATCGCCGCATGCTTCAATGCCACGTTGTCGGCCGTCTCGGAGGCGTCGCCGCCAACGCCGCATCGGGTGTCGTCCACGTGGTGCCGCGGTCCGAGCCTGTCATGTCTGCCGAGTGGCTGCATGCCAACCTCAGGGACACTGATGTGAAGGTATAACACTTGCGTTCTGCTGCGCCCGCCCTCTTAAATCTCAGTGTTAGTTGCACAATTGGTATAGTCTATATTTAAGACAGGGTACTCATATGGCCGGGGTTCTGCTGCCGTGGCAATTTGGTCAGCGCCGCTACAAGTGATAAATCTGTTTGCATAACTAGTGATGCTAGCTAGTACGTGAATTGGTATTTTAGCTGAAAGAGGATTTTGGTGGTCTTTGTTTTAGCACCAGCAGTAATCTCAAGTTTTAAAAAAACAAATGAAGTGTATGTATTACAGTATGTGACGAAGGTCAACGCCTTCGGATAAACCTATTTCCGAAAAGAAAATCTTGCTACTGAAAAAATGCTACATTTTGGAGGCCTTTTCTTTCTGGACATTATTGACATAGTGTCGGGCTCTCATCACTATGAATAATAGAACAAATACTACTAGGAGGAATCACATTTAACTATGCTATTCATAGGGTAGTTTTCTTGCTATTAAACATGTCCACCGGCAGATGTTGTATCTTATTATGCTCTTACTTTTTTGTGTAGGTACTTGATGCCTCTTGGTCAGAAGATGATGGCGAGTTCCTCATTCCAATTGTGTTTATATTGTGTAGGTTTCTTCGTCATGATCTGGATTGCCGCAGTCATGTTCAAGTCTAATGATATCTTGCGCAAGAAGACCGCTCTCAAGGTTGGTGCTTCATAATAACTTGTCTATCAACATGCTTCTTCTGCTTCTAGAGGTTAATTAATTGTTCTGCCAAGCAGACAACTCTGAAGGGCTTGTGCTTATCTTGTGTATCAACGTTCTTGTTCTGCTTCTAGCACTGGGTCTGTCCCTTCTATTGCGGAAGCCGGCTGGCAGACTGCTGCCGTCACTAAATCCCTAACGTTGGGGCCCTCCATTTGATTGTCAAATTGCTTAGATAACTCAATTTGATTGTCCTCATAATGTTCTCACATGCTTAGAACAGTTGTAAACACCATAAATGTTTTGGTATGGATATGTGCTCTATAATGTGACCGTCATGTCGTTTCCCTTAAGTTAATGCGGTGAATGTCAATTAAACAAGATCTTCAGCTGATCTATCACTTTTATTTATTTTTCTTATTTCAGGGGGAGAAGAAAATGCCAATGCTTATAGGGATTGTAGTACTATTCACCATTCACGTGTTTGGAGTCTACTGGTGGTACAGGAATGATGACCTTGTTAGACCGTTGGTGATGCTTCCTCCAAAAGAAATACCACCATTCTGGCATGCTATATTTTCACTGCGGTAAATGGTATTCTCTTTTCCCACACAACATGATTGTCGGATTTTGGGTTCCGGCAGACCCTCAAGGTTTGAACTCTAGGGTGTGCGCGGAGATCACACCTCCTGCCTACCCACGTCTCGTCGCCTCGCAAGGATCTAAACTACACGAAGAACAACACAAGGGACACGAGGTTTATACTAGTTCGGCCACCATTGTGGTGTAATACCCTACTCTAGTTTGTGGTGTGTGGTGGATTGCCTCAGGGGCTGATGATGAATAATACAAGGGAAGAACAGCCTCGCGAGGGGCTATTCTTGGCTGGTGCGATGAACTGCTTGGGTGAGTTCAATCGCCTCTCTCTCTCTCTCTCTATTCTACCCGAAATGTGGATCTCTAGTTGCCCAAAAATCTCCCCCCTCTACTCTGTGGTGGCTAGCTCTATTTATAGAGGGAGGCCTTGGGCCTCTTCCCAAATATTGAGCGGGAAGGGCGCCAACAATTGGCCATTTTGAAGGGGAACATCTAGTACACTCATCCTGGCTAAAGTCGGTCCTCGCCTGCCAAAGACTCTGACGGTGACGCGGGCTTGGGCTCCACGATGACCTCCATCCTGCCGTTCTGCTGGTCTTGGTCTTGTTGCACCGAAATGGTTGCCTTTGCTTGATACTCTTGCCTACGCTTGCCCACTTTGCACCAAAGAGGAAACAAGGACTCTGCGCAGGGCGGCGCCCACCTGGCGCCCGCCTGGCTTCAGTCGTCATGGCTTGCATCACGGACACCTCGTGACGTACCCCGACTTGATCTCTCCGCCTCCTCGCGAGCCAGCCTAACGAGGCTGTGCCCGAGGAAGCCTCTTGTCGTCCGCCCCGTGAGGCTTGGCCCCTCGCGAGGGTCTTGAACATGTGTTGATGAAGATGGGTTGTACTAGGCCACTCCTTGAGCCACGCCGCAGGCCGCAGGCAGGCAAGTCTGGGTACCCCCGTTCCCAGAACACCGACAGTAGCCCCCGGGCCCAAGGTGTGCCTGGACTTGGCTTAGCGGAGAAGCGAAGGGGCAAGTGCAAAGCGCCGCGGCCCCCATCAGCCTGCGGCCTTGGGCGCCGCGTGGCGATTGATTGGACGTGGGCGTCACTGCTTCCCACGACGCCTCGGCAACCGCACGAATTGAAAAGAGAGCTGTACCCGTCCAGGCTTACCTTCTTTGCCTTCTCCAGTCATTGCCCAGATCCCCTTTCTCGCTCCTATCCTTCTTGCTTCCGAAATCCCCAGATCTACTCCAACCCTGCATCTTAGCAAGGCATGGCGCCTCGCCAGACCCCGGCCGGAGTTTGGTACTCGCCCACTCTGGATCCTCCGAGTGTGTCGGAGAAGAACCTTGCCCGGACGCGCCAGATGATGGCAGCGCAAGGCAACGACGGGGCGGCCGTGCGCAAGGTTGGTTCCGCCCTTCCCGAGGATGAAGGAAGCACCTTCTACCCGCTCTTCGTGAGCGCCATCGCCGCCGGTCTGGTGCCTCCCTTTTCCGAGTTCTTCCTTTCTGTTCTTCGCCATTACAACCTACAAGCTCTGCTCCTCCATCCCAACTCTGTTCTTCTCCTGGCGATTTTCGCCTACTACTGCGAGGCTCATGTTGGGGTAAGGCCCTCGGTGGCCTTGCTGCGCCATTACTTTTAGCTCCGGGTTTCTCGCGGCCCCATCACTGCGTGTGCGAGCTTTGTTGCGTACGCCAACTCCAATGCTATCTCGAAGCCCGGGAAGAGGATTGAAGGCTTCAGGAGCAAGTGGGTCATGGTGGATGCTGGGCGCATCCATCCCCGGCTGATCCTGCCCACGAGGCAGCCCGAGGGTATCAACGCTTGGTCCCACGCGGAGCTCGTCGATCCCCACGCGAAACTAGTGCTGGAGAGGATGGACGCGGATCTGTTGCCGGGCAACATGGCGACGGCGAAACTGACCGGGGCGTCGCAACTGAGGGAGTTCCTGGAGCACCGGGTGGC